AATGCCACTATCTTGCAATAGCTTAATTGTTTTCTTGATTGTGATTCCCCTGACACGAATTGGAGGGGATTTAGACTTGGATTTACCTTGTGCCGGAAGAGACTTGCCCTGTACTTGTGGGGAAGTGTTGGTGTCTCCAGCTTCCTCCTCCATTCTGTCTGTATCCACTCCCAGAACAGAATCGTCATCTTCATTGAGTTCAGAAAAACTTCCTGAGGGATGGGGTTTCTCCCGTGAGATCAATGGGGCTGCTTCTTTTCAGTTTTCTGGAGATAGATCCATGACTCTTTAACATTGTGTTAAGTTTCGAGTGAGGGATCAGGGTATTAATTAACAAACAAAACCATAATTAACAATGATTTGTGTGGATTTTATATTGAGTATAAATCGACAAGTGTCATTCAATAGATGACAAAAAACGGAAGCGCCCCAAAGGCTAATGTGACGTCACATCCACTCATTCAATAAGGCGAGTCTCCAATAAATCTTAACATGAGGATAAGCTCAGACATTACAAACTCCTCCACCTTACATCTGTAAGCATTCTATCTAAAATCAAACTTACATCATATATACCATTGCATATATAATAAAATTCTTTGGCTTACAAATGTAATAACGACTCATTTCTTAAAATCAATTCATACCCAAAAATTCGTCAAAATACATAAATTGCATTATCGCAAAACGCTCGTCATACAACATTTTCTTTGGCCACTACTAAAAGTCAGTTTATAAATTCAGTCTGGTTGGAGCACGACGAACACGAGTTGATCGACGTAAAGAAGTATCGACATCCGGAATGTTTACTGGGGCAGGAACATCCAACGTAACGGGCTGATTCTCAAACGTAGTTGACACTGCTTGAGTTGCACTCTCCGATGGTGTTGTAATAGTCGTTTCATGGACAGGTGTTATAACATTGTTCTCAGATGTTACTGAATGAGAGAACAACTCTGAGTTATTACTCGTACTTGGACTAATGACTTCAGAAACAACTTCATTAGGAATTGTTGTCACTTTGTGATCAGGG